AGAAAACAAAGGGACGTGTAGTAAGTTGTCAAAAGAGCCAATTCTCGAAAGCTTGTGAATTATGGAGCTGCCAGACCGACTTTATTCCGGGGTCTGAATTGATTCCGTGTGTTGCTGATTGCGGTAATACTGTCTAGGAACTAGACCCGACACTTTTCTATCCCCAACACACACTTTATTCACGCATACCTTTGCCTATGGATGAGACAAAAAATCAAATTGTCTGCATGCTCTCATGCATCTTTTTTCCTAAGATTTTACTTCAGCCCCTATCAGAGTAGAATAAGCCTGGGACGTGGTTGGATCAGCAGAGGTGATCCAAATCTCTAGAGGAGTATAAGACTGACTTGATGGAGGACTGGAAAAGTATGCCCCATGAAACCATCAAACTGTGGATAGCGAGCACGACGGGTCAATCTTATTGCGTCATCAAACCTAACAGGAGATGTCTTTTGGGTGAACGGTGAGTAGAATTTAAAGCAATTCGTTCTTGACTCATACGACCCAGTTCGGTCGATAATTCGCATTGCGGATAAGAACGGACAAGGTTGAAACAGCTGTACAGTACTTCCTCACTTTCTATTTGACGTTCCATTTTCTTTCTTTATGATGGAATTATTCGTATGATCACAAAGTAGACCTTTTTACTGAAAATTGTTCACTTGATAAAAACGCTCCTTCAACATTCTAACATTTGTGGTCAAACACTAACCGATTTCTTTCCGCCTTATTTGATTAGGAAAGACGTACTCAGTTGACACAGTGTCACGAACGCATGAAAATCAATGAAGTTCCTTGTGAAGAGTTTGTGAAAGCTTGGAACCGATACGAGAGGCGAAAAAATCAAAAACCGCTCCCAATCTGGGAAGAGGTGAGCTTCGAAAGGATTTGTTCGGGGTCTGTTCTACCTATTCAATAGTGTTTCTTGGGGACAACTTATGTCGCGTGGTCGTTTGTTTCTGTAAGAAGACTTGACACCCACGAATACTCTACACTATGAACACGTAGAGGCCGAATGCTCAACCTATACGGTGTTGAGTTGGAATTAAGTGACACAGGACTACGAACGATAACGCGAACTATATGTAAATAGTCCAACCATAGATGAACTTGTTCCCTGGGTTTGAACTTAGCGGGCATCGGTGGGGAAGAGCCAAAACAAGGACAATGTGGTTTTGATCAAAATTTTAACAAAAATAGATGAACAAATAAGAAGGAAAGATGTATTCTTCGAATGTTTTTTCTTTGTGTGGTGGGGGGTTAGCGCAAAATATCATTCTAACTTGATATATTCACTCGCCCAAGATATAGACTTTAGATCGTTTAACTCGGATACGAAGCGTTTCGACTCCCAACCAAAAACATTAGCTGTTCGAGTTTTTATAGGGGCACAAGAGGCACTCACTGATGACGAAGCTCAACAAGGACGAAACAGTTGTCCAGTGCGTTTTGTCGGTCAACATACAACAAACTGCCGAATAAAGATGTCCTATCGGGTTATTCACACGAAACGGATTTGCTCACAACTTCATTAAATGAACTGTGTTTCAAAAATGTAAGGAACAGCAAAGAGAGGATAGGAGCCGGTTCGCCACACACCACGGATACGACGGAAATCACAGAACGATTTCAGAGACGATCGCCTGTAGATGGAGAGCCATTTCGAAGCGAAAGAAGGATAACAGTAACATTTTTTACCGTGCCAAAATCAAGAACAAGAGATTGCCCGAAACATCATATCGAACAAGCTGAACGAACCTTATCAACAAAGGCTAGTGAACACCAATCGGCAGTCAAGAGACATGCTCATTCACACTTTCCTCATCCTGGAAGGGAAAGAACACTTGGATCCACAAGAGAAGTATCGATCAAGTTCAGCCAATACGAGGGGGAGAATTTCTCGGTTCATTATTTGAACAACCCAAAGAGTGAGTAACCTGAATCCGATCGTGCGTGTCATGTCAAACCAAGCGTATGCTTCATGCACCCCGAGAGGTGAATATTCAGCCGACCCAACTTAAGGTTCAAATGACAACAAAAAAAGAAGTCACGTTGAGACTTGATAACGGAATTCACTCAATACGAAAGAACAATCCTTCTCCATGCGGATTCGACGACCAACTGGGATGAGAACAGATCGAGGTCACCGACACTGAACCTATATAAGAAACAGAACACCACCATATCGCAGGTGCTGAAGAATTCACCTCGACTGGTGTTGAAACGTTCCCGAACAAATTGCCAAACCAGTCAAAAATAAATAAACTTACGCATTATGGCAGCTGCCCTGCAATTTTCTGTAGACATAATTGAGTACAACAGTGCACGGTAATTGTGCCTGTTAAGCTGTTCTGATACCGAAAAACGTACGCAGCAAATTGTAAAATTGATACTTTCGAAAGCGATTTGTATTTGATTTCGAACGAAGTGACTTGCACTTCAGGATGCAAAAATTACAAAAGATATTTTAAAACACTGTGTGCTGAGTGACCTACACGATCGATAATTGTGGATCCTATTATGCATACTACCTTATAAAATAAATTATTTTGTAGAGTATTAAATTACACCCTAGCCCTAGTAGCTCGTGTCGCTTTTTTAGGCAAATTCGGTCAAATTTAACCAATGGCTATGTCTTCTCCTGTCTCTCCTCGCTCTGTATGCCCATTTCTGTTACAAAAGTATGTCTATGAAGACAATTGGACGACAGCAGACGAGCGACCCAATGCCTATCTACCTCAACTGGTATCCGCCACCACTCCACCAAACACGGAAGGACTAGAGCAAAGAGCTCTGGTTTTGCATGCCACTCATGGCCCCATTCCTTTTGGTGCGCATGCGCCATTCCACCCAACTGGCCCCAGTGCCAATATGCGTCATTTTCGTAAACCAAAACTACCCGAACTTGAGGCAACAGTTGCGCAAAAATGAGATTCACCTACGTCAGTGATCCCCGTTGGAGTTTTACGAATAACTGTATTGCACCTTTCATTCCCTGTAATTGATTTTTTGTTTTGTTTTAATTGAGCACAACAAATTTGTACTCAGAGTGTGTTCGTGCTGTACTCACTCACCCCATCACAAGCAATCCGCTTTTGAAAACTAATGAATTTTCTTGTACTTAGGCCACTGGCATTCGCACCCACATCTAATCATGATCAGGTGTATTAGCCACCAGTTGTAAGTAATTGAAAGAAAAACGGAAAGAAGGATCGGAAATGTTCTTAATTCAAATAAATGACATGATTGGAAGTCTCATTGCGGTGAGATCCTCAACATTCTGATGAAACACATTATTTACTTCTCAATCCAACACATTTTTACGGGTTAGGCTAACCTCACGCTTGTCTTATGTCAATTTTTTCCAACGCGTATTTCACAGTCCGAAGCAGTCAGGTGAAGTGACAGAAATATGACAGCTCGAGGAAATTAAAGAGACCATAGTGCGATTTTCCGAACTCATTTTATCATAAAGATCCCCCATATACCTCGGGGACTCAGACGAAAACAACTGCGAGTGTTGGAAAGGGGTAGACGAACTTGAAACGTATTTGCCCAGAAAAAATGTTGGAACCATAAAGTTGAATTGAAGGGATGAGAAAAAGTGGGCGCGTACATATCAAAATGAAACGAGTGGATTTATGATATTTATCGGACCACTGGGTTAGCGTTAACTCAAAATTGGATTTCGGGGATATGTAGCTTGGGGTGATTGAGAGATATTAGAACTGACAAGATTCGGGAAAAAGGACCGAAACATAGTAGTTGATGTTTGGTAGAAATTGCGAAGCAGAGATGAAATAACCAAATCGCTTGGGGGTGAACAACGCAACGCGCGCGCATTTGGGCAAGCACAAACCGACTGAATTTCAACAATGAAACAAGACCTAAACTAAGTATCAGGAAACAGTTTCCCCGGGAGCAAAAGATACGACGAACACCGATATATATATATATATATATATGAGACAAGGAAATTGAGTGAATGCAACAGCAATATTCTGCCATAACAACTAGCTATCAGCTACATTGATGCCGAACGCGACCTGCAGTGAGATTGCTCCATCGTTTACCATCGTCTATCCCTCTCACCCGTGACCTTAAACAAGTAAATTCTCTCTGACTCTTTCTGTGATCTGATTAGATCATATTCCGCGATCTGCGGCCCCTCCTCGGACACTTGTGAATGCTGCAGTCATGCGGAGTGGAATTTGGTCTACTTCCCCTCTCCTCTTTGACCATGTCCAACAAAAGTTCATATATCACATCAATGAACTATAGACCTATAACCCGTCTATCAGTTAATTTAAACTTTCACTGTGATCACTATTTTAAAAACAAACCGAGAACAAACATTAGCTTTGTGTATCTACAAGAAACGCCAAAAATACTTGAATAAAAAGACACCAGCGAAGTTCTTGAGGCGTGAGATTTTTCGGACAGTTCAACGAACAGTTATCGGTCGTTGTCTAGACCGGCCGTAAAATGTTTGTCTGGATCGAATAACAAGTGAAACTACGCCTAGCCAACTAGAACCGACTTTGATCATGCTGTCATCCAATGTGATTTTGATCTCCTATTCACCCCGTCCCGATTCTACCCCTTAGCCCTTGTCGGCACAAGTGATCGACCTATCTAGTTGAAATCTCTGACCTCGGATTTTATACTGTTGATTCCTTTGTCTCTTCCTCATCAAGAAAAAGGTGAATTTTTGTAAGAACCTCGCTTTTTTGTATTTCCTCCAATCTCAGTCTACAGAATGATGTCCGCCTTTTCACTCGTTAGATATTCCTTGTGACAAAAATATACGACTCCTCAATATTCTCCTCCTAAACTCTGTAACGGAATCATATCTAGTCAGAAAGGTAGAATACACGATACGATACGATATGTCAAATTTTAGAATAAAACCACGAACTGTTAAGTGGAATATAAAAAATCAAGAGGATGAATGAGTATGGACCATTTGATTCAGATACAAGCTAATTAGTTCGATCTTTAAGTTCGCTGACGGAAAAAGTTCACGAAACCCGGAATAACGTAAATCCGGTCCGCCTGAGCATGTAAGGTACCCTGATTGTTTAACCTTCCCAACGATCTCCATCCACGTTATTTGCACTTGTACATCGATTTTTCTCTGCGTACTGTCACACGGAAGGAGACTTGGGTTTCTATAAGGACGACAAATATGTAGTCCACAAAAATTTGATTGAATTCCCGTATGAAATTACCAGATAATGCCAAAGACTGAGAAAAGTCGTACAACTTTCCGGGAACGCTGAGCGATTAGCACCTAAAAAAGCAAATGGGTCCAACAAGTTTCAGAACCATCATTGCCGGTTTGGTTTCCACGACGTAAACATCAAAATACAAAATCGAGCACGCTACATTCTCGCTCGCTCCACCCACTCGCGAAGCAAACAGGTACTCATTAGGTGTACCAGCATTCGCGGACTGAACCGCAACATTGACTCTGTATACCCATATTTTCATTCTACCTCTCGCTTTTTTGATCGCTACACAAACCTTCCCACTGTCAGACACTACCCATCTTTGTGTCCCCACACACACTTTCCACTCCTCCTTTCTACACCTGGCGCCTTTATGCGCCAATCAGTCACTGCCTCCAGCATGCCAAATATTGAATTGTCCAATCGCGAACCTCAGCTAATGTGGCTGAAGCTCCGACTTCCTTCTTTCAACCATTACTTTTGTGCTCTGCATTATTCCCCTCAATACTGGCATTTTCTCCGTCTCTTATTTATCTTGGAACAGTGAACACTCGTTTGCAACCGATCTCAACTACCATGTGATCATTTTGGGAGAATTCGACGTCTATAATCAGTTGACACACTCATCTGCTACTCCTTGGGGCGTGAAGCCAAACATTTCGTCTTCGTGAACAATCTGAGACAGCTAGCTGACCTCCCCACACGAGTCCCTGATTGAGCTGGTGACCATACCCATACCCTCGTTTAGTTCTCACTTCGGTCCCTGTTTTCTTCTCAAATATCTGTACTCTTCCTCCACTTGGCTCATCGGATTATTACATTGTTTGTTGCTCTACTAAGTTTATCAGCCCCGATCCGCCGCCCACCTCGAGACACATTTGAGCTTTACAACTGAACCAACTAGGACGGTTTTAGTGACTTCCTGGCTTCTTACCCTTGGAACGATTGGTGTTCCGCTTCGGACGTGTCCAACCTCACTGACACTGTTCTTCAAGATTTACATCTTTTTACTCCACACTTTTCCAAACCCAGCAAACCCAAATCCCTCGAGTGATTTAACCAGGCGTGTGATCGTGCTGTCGGCCTTCCGTTGCTGCTGGTCACCTTTTATATCTCAGCTTGCTTCTTGTAGTGCGCGCAAGGTTGGCTTTTTATTCTATGCCACAGGTTTCTTCACCCCAACTCTTCCTCCATTGTAAAAACCCCAAATCCACCCTGCTCTTGAATATTGTAGTCACGTATGAGGTGGGGCTTTATTTTTCTTCTCTTTGCCTTCTTGACCGTATTCAAATGTAATTCGGCCGATTGATGATCCTTCTCCAACCTACAATTTGCAGTCCCTAACCCATGGTCAGGCAGTTGTTTCACTGTCTTCTCTACCGTTGTTAATTTGGTTTTGATCTTCGGAGCTTATCTATGCAGTGCCTCTTCCTGTAACTTTTACCCGCCAACCCCGTACAACGAGATTTAGTCAGTTTTGTCAGAATTCGTTCACCAGATGCCATACTACCCTACCCCAATCTGCTTTGTCCCTGAACTGCCAAGTTAAGGAACACCCTCCCTTTTTCTTTCTTTCTCTTAACTTGCAACCTTGCACACTTTGAAGGTAAAATGAACAAGGAGTTTACGTGAACGTTCCCCCAATCTCACTTTTACAGTATACTCTTCGACTACGACGATTTACCCTTTAAATGTAATTTCGGTGACTGGAAAGTTCCGCTGGCATAGTGTCACAAAATAATAAAATGACACCAGGCGTCAGGTGATGGTTCAGGGAGTCTTCTCGATCAACGGCCAAACTGAGCTTGTTATAATCGAGAGCATACAATATTCCGGTGGGTATATTCCTACACTGGAACTGCTTGTAGTTCCGCTACCGACCAGAATGACGCTTTCTGTTCCTTATATGCCGGCTGTTATTTCGTGGGACTAAAGTCATGCAGTGACCAGCCTGCATTTTAAATATAAACCCATCACTCAACATTCAAACATAAATGTTCATCCAGTGTAGAAGCTACATCGGATTGATTCGACCTTACTAATCCAAGAGTTCATTATAAACTGCCCTGAAGTGAGTATATGCAAAGATTCTAAGAAATGTGCCGAGGGAATGTACTGACGACACGAAAATGAATGGCGATGATTTCTCCTTTATTACACACAAGTGTGTGATGAACAGCAGATGAAGCGGATCCCATAGTCACGAAGACCTGATAACCGGCAACCTAAGCCCCGGGACTTGGAGTAGCGAATCATATAAGGTCCCGTTTCTGGCCTCTCTGAGTTAAGATCATGTGTAATAATTATATATATAGCGGCACCGATCAAACCGCTGCAGCATATACTCCACGGAAGGGTGCAAGACTTCCGGGAAGCCATATAGCAGCTCTAAAATCCGGGACTATAGTGATGACGCCAAGACCCGACCGTATAAACTGTGCACTGCTCTGAAGGAAACGGCTGGTACACCAGACCATCAGCAGCGGTGAAACGAACATACTGCACAGTATCCCTGCTAACTTATTCCGAACTGAAGACGCGCTCATAGCATCAGGTCTTCGTGTCAAGTGTTTCTTCAGATTAGGACGCAGGCTCCAGCCTGAGTGAGGTACTACAGCCGCTGAGCAGCACACAGGAAGCAGGGAATATTCTTTAGAGTCAACTGCATTAAACGGACTTCCGTGAGACTACGAGACGTGT